TTTTTTTTTTTTTTTTTTTTTTTTTTTTTTTTCTGTCTTCATCGTTTTATATTTTCTTTGCTTCGTTCTTTGTTTCCCTTCCCTCGCCGCCTCCCGCCTGCTGCGCCCCTTTTTATTATCTCTTTAACATCTGCTGCTTCTGCTGCTGCTGCTTCTGCTGCTGCTGCTTCTGCTGCTGCTGCTGCTGCTTTTTTTTTTCTCTGTTTCGTCGACAGCAACCTGCAGCGGCCTCTCACTGAGGCGCCGCCTCAGCCATCCACCGGCTGTGAGGTCCTCACGCTGTTTGCTGCTGCTGCTGCTGCTGCTGCTGAACAGCAACAGCAGCAGCAGCAGCAGCAGCAGCAGCACGAAGCGTTGACTTACTGCCTATCACTGTCGTTTACCTGTGCAGCCTGGTTTGGCTTTGGTGAGCGCTGCTTCCTCCCCCCTGTGTGTCTGTGTGTGTTGCAGGCTTCTCTCCGCTTCGCTGCAGCAGCAGCAGCAGCAGCAACAGCAACAGCAGAGGCTGGCAGCAGCAGCTCCCAGTGGCTACTGCAGCAGGCGCTGGAGTATGAACCCATTGCAGCAGCAGCAACAGCAGCAGCACCAGCACCAGCAGCAGCAGCAGCAGCAGCAGCTGGTTGCTCCACCCCAGCTGCTGAAATCTCAGCCGTCATAGAAGGTGCCTGGACACCTCATCCCCTTCATTTGCGTCGTCTCCGCTTGCTGCTGCAGCGCGCGCTGCAGCTGCAGCAGCAGCAGCAGCAGCAGAAACAGCAGCAGCAGCAGCAAGTGGAGAGCGACGCAGCTACCGCCCAGGTGAGCCAAATGCCCTCCTCCCTGCTGTAGTATTCTCTGCGGCTGCTGCAGTGATACCTGCTGCTGCTGCTGTTGCTGTTGCTGTTGCTGCTGCTGCTGCTGTAGCAGCAAAACCTGCACAATTCATTAACTCTTTCGTGCTGCAGTCTTTGTCTCTGCTGCTGCTGCTGCTGCTGCTGCTGCTTCAGGCTGCTGCAGCTGAGAGGCTGCAGCGATGCGAAGTTCTGTTGGCCCTTTCCGAGGCAGCAGCGCAGCTCAGCGGTGTTGGGGGCCTCACCAATGAAGCCCCCACTGTGCAGCCAGCAGCAGCAGCAGCAGCAGCAGCAGAAGCAACAGCAGCAGCAGCAGCAGCAATGAACAGCTCTGCATCTGGTGGTGTCAGTTGTCTATCACAAAAGCAGAAGCAAAAGGAGAAGCAACGGCAGAAGCAGCAGCAGCAAACTGCTGAGCCCACTGCTGCTGCTGCTGCTGCTGCTGCTGGTACTGTCGCAGAGAAGCTTGGCGTTCTGCTGCTGCAGCAGCTGCAGCAGGCTCTTGCTGCTCTGCTGCGAGGCCCTTATGCTGATGAAGCCGACAGCAACTCCCCCCCCTTCGTGCTGCAGCTGGCTTGTCTTTTTGCTGCTCACGCTCAGACGCTGGCGCTGCAGTTGCTGCTGCAGCAGCACCGCAATCTGCTGCAGCAGCACTGGCGGGCTGTCTTCAGTGCGTTCCCTGCTGCGCTTCCACCCCAAAGGTTTCTACACCTTCTACCCAGGCCAACATACATCAGCAGCAGCAGCAGCAGCAGCAGCGGCAGCAGCAGCAGCAGCAGCGGGCTCGAGGCGACAGCTGAAGAGATTGCTGCGTGGGCAGTGGAGCGGTCTCTGGTGGTGATGAGGGGGTCGGGGCTGCTGCAGCACTGCGCGCTGCCTTTTGCCACTGCTGTGCTGCTGCTGCTGCTGCAGCAGCCGCCTCCTGCTGGTCTTGCTGCTGCTGCTGCTGCACAGCAGCAGCAGCAGCAGCAAGCACGGGAGGCCCTCACGCTGTCACGACTCGATCAAAAGCAGCTGAAGCAGATCCAGCAGCAGAAGGAGCTGCAGCAGCAGCAGCAGAAACTGCAGCAGCAACGGGCCGCTGCTGCTGCTGCTGGCGCGAGTCTATCAGCTGCTGTATTGGCAGCAGGACACAGGCCACTGACCTCCACCGCAGCAGCAGCAGCAGCAGCAGCAGCAGCATCACAAGCCACCAGCCCCTCTTCAACAGCAGCAGCAGCAGCAGCTGCTGCTGCTGCTCCCAGCTCGTCTGCAGCTGCAGCAGAAGCAGCAGCAGCAACGGAAGTTGAAGGAATGGAGGCACCGTGGGGCTTGGATAAGAGTTTGCTGCAGCAGCAGCAGACTCTGCTGCTGCTGCAGCAGCAGCAACAGCAAGGCTGCAGCGGTATTCGTCGTCTGTATGTATTGCATGGGCTGCTGCGTCAGTTTCTGCTGCTGCAGCTGCTGCAGCTTCGTTGCAGGGAGCTGCAGCAGCTGCAGGAGGACCAGCAGCAGCTTGCTGCTGCTAGCCCCCCAACATGCTGGAGACGGCCTGCTGCTGCTGCGCATAGGCGGCAGCAGCAGCTGCAGCAGCAGCTGCAGCAGCAGCTGCAGCAGAAGCTGCTGCTGCTCGATGATGCCACAGAAGACTTCTTCAGCTTCGTTAGGCTACCCGATAGCTCGCGCCTGCTGCTGCTGTTGCTGCACCTCGTCGCTACGCAGCAGCAACAACCAGGATCAGGAGCAGCAGCAGCAGCAGCAGGAGAGTCTGCTGCTGGT